TTTACCCAGCCCTGCTGCTCCCAATCCCATGTGACCCCTTGCCCTGCTCAGTGCTACCCATGGGAACTGAGGGCCTGCCCCTCCCTGACCCATTTTTCCCTCCCCTTCAGTCTGAAGAAAGAAGCCTATGAAGTGGAAATTCACAGGCTACTGAGGTATGGCCTAGGGCTCTTGGAGTGTGTGGCAGAGAGTGAAGAGTCAAATACTGGGGATCTTGTCCCGTAACTTGCAAGGCCCTGTGCAAAATGAAAATTGGGGCCCTTAGTTCAGAAATTATTAAGAATTTCAAGATGGCAACAACACAGCATTAGACCAAGCACAGGGCCCTGTGTGACACACACCTCATACCCTATCTTGGCCTGACTCTCCCAACCCCATGCAGCGAGGCGGAGGTTCTGGACCACAGCAGGAACCCCTGTGAAGACTCTTTCCTGCCAGACACGGAGGGCCACACCTACGTGGCCTTTATCCAAATGGAGAAAGATGATGACTTCACCACCTGGACCCAGCTTGCCAAGGTGCTCCAACATCACCACACCCACCCCAGAGCACCCCTCCCCACACACATACACTGCCCTAAGATACAGGGAGCCTTTGTTCTGGAATCTTCAACCTCAGAACTTTCTCTTCTTACCCTTAGAGCCTCTCTTCCAAACTCCCTGTCCAAATCCATATACCAGAAGATGCTACCTCTTGCAAATGGAGGCAGCTGCTGAAGTCTGGAGGCTGGGCCAAAGGTCCTCAGCAGCTGCCCCCCCCCAGTTCTCTGACCCATGTCTCTGTCCCCACCCCAACTCCACCAGTGCCTCCATATCTGGGACCTGGATGTGCGTGGCAACCACCGGGGCCTGTGGAGATTGTTTCGGAAGAAGAACCACTTCCTGGTGGTGGGAGTCCCAGCCTCTCCCTACTCGTGAGTGGCCCTTTTCTGCCCTGAGAAAGGTGGGCCCAGTGGGTCTGGGGGAGATAGCTAATGACTTCTTTCCTGTACATTTCTCTTCTTATCTTCCCAGAGTGAAGAAGCCACCATCAGTTACCCCAATTTTCCTGGAGCCACCCCCAAAGGAGGAAGGAGCCCCAGGAGCTGCAGAACAGACATGAGACCTCCTCCAGGACCCTGCAGGGCTGGGTACTATGTACCCCGTGCAGGCTGGCCCTCCACACATCCTGTAGATTTTGTAGATGCTGGTAGGGGCTGGGGCTGGTTTGTTTTTAACATAAGACTTAATTACTAACTTCAAGGGGAGGATTCCCCTGCTCCAACACCCCTGTTCCTGAGTCAAAGGTCTATTTATTTTCTCCCTTGTTAGAGAAGGACAGGAGAGTGCCTGGGAATCACTGGGATCCCTGGGCAGCTGATCCTGCCCTTTGTACACCCCCTCCTCCCAGGCCTGCCTCAGAATCTAACCTATTTATTGACTGTCCTGAGGGCCTTGAAAACAGGCCGAACCTGGGGGGCCTGGATTTCTTTCTGGGCTGGTGTGCTGCCCTTAGGGTAGGGCCGGCTCTTACTCAGGAAACTGCTATGCCCATCCCATGGACAGGCCCAGCTGGGGCCCACATGCTGACACAGACTCACTCAGAGACCCATAGACACTGGACCAGGCCTCCTCTCAGCCCCCTCTTTGTCCATTTGTCCAGATTTCCAAAGCTGGATAAGTTGGTCATTGATTAAAAAAGGAGAAAACCTCTGGGGATGTGTCTTGTGATTGTGTGTGTGTGGGGGGGGGGTGGGAGAGGGTGAGGATATAGGGGAGAAAACAGTTGTGATGGATGGTGAGTTTTCCTTACTGTCCTCCAAAGTTTATCTTCCATTTGGGGCCATTTGGCCACCAGGGGATGCCCGAGTCTGAGAGGCCAAGGTTTTTCTCCAGGCTCCACCCTAGGACAGTGTCATGTTAGCCCCACCCTGCTTGGGGCTGAGCTTGGAGCAGCCACCCCTCCCTACTGCCAGGCTGGTTCCTCCCTAGCTTGTCTGGGTCAGGCACCTGTCCCCAGGGGCGGAGCAAGAGAACAAAAAGGGATTCTTACGAGTTGGAGGAGGGAATGGGAGAGCAGGTGAAAATAGTGGAGGTGGGAAGGCAGGGGATGGGACAGGACTAGGTGAGGTCATTCAGGAGACTAGGGCTGGGCTAGAGATGGAGGCATAGGAGCAAGTGTGTCTGTGGCACTTAGGGTACTCCATGCAGAATTCCATGCCTGGGTGTTTTTGTGGAAAAAAGGGTCATGGTCTTCATCAGATTCTCATACAGCTAGTTACCAAAGAGGTTAGGAATAGCTAAGTAAGATTTCATAGAAGCATCAGAAAATGGATGAGATTGTCCAGAGGGAGTGGGTGAGATCGCCTATGGTAGCGGGGCACGACATTTAAGGGATCTGTGAAGGACTTAAGAACAGGAAGGTGAGTGCCTGCTTCTATGTAAGTATAGAAGCTGGGCCGGGTGCAGCTGGGCTCACACCTATAATCCCAGCACTTTGGGAATCCAAAGCAGGAGGATCACTTGAGGCCAGGAGTTCGCAATCAGCCTGGGCAACATAGTGAGACCCCTGTCTCTACAGAAAAAATTCTTTAAAAAGTTAGCCAGGCATGGTGGCGTGTTGCCTTATAGTCCCAGCTACTCAGAAGGCTGAGGCAGGAGAATCAAACCCAAGAGTTCAAGACTGCAGTGAGCTATGATGATACCACTGCACTCCAGCCTAGGTGACAGAGTGAGACTCTGTCTCCAAAAAAAAAAAAATATATATATATAGAACCTTGGTCAAGGAGGCAGGAACTGACTGGAGTCCCTGTCCTTCTGCCTGTCCTCTGCCCTGTCTCCACTGGTGCCTGGAGCCCAGCTCGGTGATGGCATAGGTGGTGTATAGCTGGAACATTTCTCACCACCCTGACGCCAGTAGTGTTTGCTGGAGCTAGAGATAGCAGCGCAACAGCCATGCTGAGAAGCAATTAGCCTCTGATGAGGTGGAGGCCCGCCCTGGGCAAACAAACTCCTTTCAGCCTCTACACAGGCACTGGCGAAAGGGAAGTGTGTGAAAGGTACAGTGGTGCCCAAGAGGTGGGCTAATTCCTCTCCCTGCTCAGCAGCCCGGGGGTTCTTGGTCTGGGCCTCACAGACATGCTTTCGGGCACTACATGGCTCTGGCCAGGTCCCTGTTCCTTTCTGGGCTCAGCAAGGGGGTGGTCATTCCAGGCTGCCCTGGAAAAGTCTGGGAAGAGGGATACGGGGGTCAAAGAGAAATGAGGAGGGGGACTGGTTTGTTAAGCTGGATTTTGCTTGGTAGCAGACACTCTGTTGTCCCACTATAGCTTCCTTCTTTTTTCTTTCTCTCTTTTTTATTTTATTTTATTTTTTCACCATCTCTGGGTTCTGGCTTGAAGCCAACCTCTTTAATGCTGTCACTCTGTGTGACACAGCTATCAGGTCTGTGTCAGGGCCATTCTGGCCAGGTGCCCCTTCGAGTGGAGCTGTAACCATGTCAGGACCACCAGGCTCTGGAGTCGGTCTGGGCTTGAACCCAGGGTCAGCTCTTCACTGAGGGCTGTGGGACTGGGGCAAGTTGCCTGGCCTTTCATAGCCCCAATGTCCCCACTTGCAGCGGGGGTGGGAGGGTGGTTAGGGCCAAATAAGAGATTAGGTCTGAAGAGCACTGGGTAGGCCAGCACCAAAGAATAAATGAAGTTCTTTCTGACATCCCCAACACAGGGACAGATCTGAGGCTTTGCCTGGGTGGGAAGGGTAGGCAGTATGGACCCTCTGATGGGGCCTCTTGGAGGGCTTCCCAGAGCAGAAGGAGTGACTCTCTCCCATTGCTATGGCAGTAAATCTGGTCTCCCCTCCCTGACTTGGGTATGAGCTTGTTATTTTAATAGCTTTCCAGTCCAGTGCCCCCACCCAGGAGGGGGCAGTTTCAGACCAAAGTCCTCCCAGGTTATAAGAAGCCAGACTGACCCAACCCCCACTTCCTCATGCCCTCTTGGCCATCCCTCTTGGACTCCCTCCCAGGCCTGGAACCCAAACACAAGGGAGAAATAACCACCCCACTTCCCTGCTGCTGTCTTTCCAGGCTTCTGAGTCGGCAGCCCCACAGGAATCTGAGGCCAGTTTAGGCAAGATGGGCCCCTCTCCCCAAGGATATAAAAAGAGTCCAAACGGAAACATTTCAGTTGGTTTATGGGTTCTGAAGTGCCTTCTGCACAACTGCCTGGTGGTTCTGCTGATTTCACATATGTCCAGGCTATAAGGTGCATTGTCTCATTCCCCTGTGGGTACTGACTGGGATCACCAACAGCCCTCCTTAGCCTAAGGGGATGCCAAGGGTTTCAGGAAGAGATTGGGGGAAAGGACAGGAGAACTGGCTACTTACAGGCTCTGGAACAGGTGGGCCCCAGCCCTACCCATGGAAGGAAAAGTTAGGCACAGCCTAGAAGGTATGGTCCCTATTTAGCCCCAAGTCTGGGGCAGAAAAGGCAGGCTGACTCTGGCCCAATTGACACTGTTAGATCCTGTCCCCACTCTGGTCACTGCTTCCTGGCCGTTCCAGGGTATCTCTTCCCAGTTCCCATGTGCAGCAGTAGTGGCAGAGGGAGAAGCAGTCTTATTTCAGATTGGAGTACAGATACATGGACACAATCATAGCAGCCAGCTGGTGGGGGAGGAACAGAGAGAGATGAGAGGACATGATTGGGATCCTAAAGCATTGGTCCCCTGCCTCCCAAACACCCTACATGAAGCTCTGCCAGAAGTCTGTTTCTTCCTCAGAGATATGTCAAGCAGCCCTGGTCCACTGGCCACATCCCAGCCCCAGCCTCCTCATCTGCTTACCTCTAGGGCCGCAATTCCGGCTGCCACACCACCCACCGTGACCGCATTGGTTCGGATGTCATGCAGAAGCTGATCGAAGCACCCCTTGGGGAAGGGGAGAGAGCATTTATAGTTTGCAGCTGCCCTACCCTCATCCTCACTTGCTACTTCTGAGGCCACTGAAACAATCCCCACCCTCCTATGCCGGCCCACACCTCTACAGTTGCGTTCTCGGCCTTCTGCCTGGTGCAGGGTTCCTTGGCTGTGTCGTTTGCATAGACGTTGTCAGCACAACAGTACGGGGGAAAGGTGTTGTTGTTCTTGCTGAAGTAGGGTGAGCCCTCGAAATCCGTGTAGTTGTTGAAGCCACAGCAGTTGAGCTGGAAACAAGATGGGGAGGGTGGTTGGTGGGGTCTTGCTTCTTTCTCTTCACCCCCAAATCTCCCCTAGCCCACCTTACCCCTTGCATGGTGGAGTTCCACACTTGAGTGAAGTCTTTCTGGGAACCATAGTCACTCTTGATGGCAGGCACGATGAGCAATGTCAGGAATTGTTCAGCCTGAGTTGGGCAGGCCAGTGTTTAGGGGCTGGTAGGGAAGGTGGCCATTCACAGACCACAGCCTCCTTCCAGGGTTTGCCCAGTCTTCCTCCCTTGCCCCATCCCAGCATCTCACCATTGTGGTGTACACCAAGGCGACCACAGCAGCTGCAACCTCAGCAATGAAGATGACGAGGAGGATGACGAAGAACTGAGAGGGGAACAGGGGTCTGGGTTTTAGGGAGAGACAGTCCCTTATGCCCTCCTTACCCTAGTCCATCCCCCCCAAAAATGAGGCAGGGGTCCCTATGCTGAGGCCCCTGGAGTCCAAAACAGAGTTTGGGAATCCCCAGGGCCTGACGTCAAGAGTGAGGGGTCCCTTGGTCATGGGCCTGTCTGTGGAACTGGGTTTGACACACCATCATGAGGGCACACTTGTTCTCAGCGTGAGCACCGTAGCAGCCCAGGAAGCCAAGAGCAAAGAGCACAGCACCAGCTGCGATGAGGAAGTAGCCCACATTGACGAACTGAAAGGCACTGGACGACAGCGGCCCGAAGATCTTCAGGAAGGATGGCCCATCGACTGACACCCAGATGCCCACTGCCAACAGGGCTATGCCACACAGCTGGGGATAGAAAGGTGAGACAGGCTTAGAAACAGTGCCAGGAAGTAGCTCATTACCACACAGTTTTGTCAGGGGAATGGGAGGCAAGAAACTTCCCCCTCTCTTGGCTAGGAAGTCTAAAAACTCATCCTTAGGGAGGGAAACATCCTCTAGAGCCAGAAGATTGGGAGTGAGACACCTATAGCCAGGATAAGGCTGTACACCTGGGCAGATATAAATGAGCTCGGGAGTTCTAGAAATATCCACAGAGTAGGGAGGCGAGCAAGACTTTCCCTCTCTGCTGCCAGGATCCTGCCACATAGCTAGGAGTGAAAACAGGCAGGTGAGGGCCAGTCTCCCATTTCCCTTCTGGGCTACAGGTGCCTTGAACACTTCTGTCCTCTGATAGGTGGAAACAGCGGGGTGGTGGCGTTGAACAGGCTCAACGGTCACCACAGTAACAGAGGCGCAGCTGAGTTTACACCTGCTCCCAACCTTGGCGAGCACAAAAGTGGAGAAGGTTCACCCACCCTGAGGCCCACCTGGCTCCTCTCCAAGATCCAACTCCAGGCCTTCCCCCTCATCCAGACTAGACCTCCTCGCCTCACAAGTGGAAAATGAGGCACCTGGTGGGGGGAACACAGCCAGAGCTTCTCTTAAATGCTCTTCAGCTCAACCCCAAACCTAGGAGGAAGTCCTGAGGCTCAGATTGGGGAGGGCCTTGCCCAGTTCCCACAGCTCTGAGAGCAA